TTATCAATGAAAAATTTGTTTCTTGTTATAAAAAAAAAACTTATGTTATATTTGAAAAAGTAAAAATGAAAAATTCTGATCGAGTAAAATTTCTCTTTTTTTTAGAGGAGTCCTGAAAAGCCATGCTTAAACGACGTTACAGAAGTTGGAACATGGAGAAAAGCTGCAGTCTCACTGGCTGTGTTTCTTGTTGTGTTGACGCTCCTCCCAGTTTGGGACGAGCTTGCGGAGGAGCTTGGTATAGGTCTTGTAACAACTTTTTGACACGAAAATTCGAAATGTAAATTCAAATCTTAGCCGAAATGAGGTAGATAATGGTATATTTACTGCCAAATTTAGCATTATTTGACATGTGTATATAGACCTGTTTTCTTTATGTTCTGCTCAATACATACATCTGAGTGAAATACCCTCGAAAATGAAGCTGTGTCTGCTGCTGCCAAATTTGGCATAGCCTTGTTCTTAGGATCATCAATTGGATTGCAAATTCATGTCTTTTTATTTGTACCCTTTGGCCTGTTCTTAGGCTTTGAAGCATCATTAAACTTTGAATTTCAGATTATATCTGATTTTCTGAGCCTATTAATATTGTCTAAACTCGATTATTTTTTTACTAAATATATGTTTTAGTCCTGACTGTTGGAAATTTAKTTTTCAATTTAGCCCCTATTGTTTAAAAAGTTTTAATTTAGTCTCTTATATTTTAACATTTTTTAATTATACAATTCTCATATGYGAATGTAAAAAGTTACCTGACATAATTTTTAGTGGGTCGGTATAAATTTAGAGAATAAATTAGGTCATGTTGAAATTTTTGTTACCTTCAAACATTTGGAGAAGAAATTTAAAAAATGTTCTACCCTGGTGGTCTAATTTATCCTTAAAATTTTCACACCAAAGTATTATGTCGTATAAATTTATTATTAACCAATTTGGTATTATGTCGTATAAATTTATTATTAACCAATTTTAGTATTCGATGGGAGGAGTAATTGAAATATTTAATACACAAAGAACTATATTGATAATTTGTAAATAATACGTGATAAATTGAAAATAAAAAACCTAAATATTGATAATTTGTAAACAATAMGGACTAAATTGAAAATAAAAAACCTAAATATTAGGGATTAAAACATATACCTCGGCATAATAACTTTATTATAAATCCCATTTGTATTTTAAAAAGTGAACTTATTGTTCGACGATTTCACTAGTTATAATTTTTTGGGCAAATTGCATAAACCACTCATAAAGTAAGGTAATTGTTGTAATTGCACCATCAACTTTTAATTGTAACTATTAAACCTTTAAATTTTAACATGTATAAAAATTAAATCCTTAAACTTCTGTAAGGAAAAAAATTGTATCCATAAAACTTTTAATGGTAAAAATTAAACTCCTCAACTTYTATAAGTATGAGAACGACACACTTAAAATTTTTTATTTTAAAAATTAAACCCTAAAAAATTAAATTCTCTCTCATGGTTGTCTCTGTCTACCTTTGTAGAACAGAGAATTAATCAACTAATTTGTCTTCTCGTTGGTGTTCAGAGTAGAGAGAGAGAGGAGAACAATGAGAGAAGATGGAGAACAATGTGGTCGGAAAAAAATAAAACGGTTAAAAAACACGTTTTGTTCTTGAATTTTCATTAAAGTAACGATTTAATTCTAAACTGTCAAGAGTAACAATTTAGTCCTTAAACTTTTAAATTAGTAATATTTTAGTCGTTACCGTTAAATATTCTGTTAGGATTTAACAGATATATGTATGGAATGRCAACTAAGATGCCACGTAGGACAAACTTTAACCCAAAAAATAAAACAAAAAACAAATGTGGCTCCGTCTCCGACTGTCATCTCCTAGTCCCACCAGCCGCACCGTCAGGCTGCTGGAGATTCGGAGATGAGTGCCACGCAAGACTTAATTCGGGCAAAATTGGTCCGAAGCCGAAAGCAAAATGAACAAATTCCCCTTTTCCTACGCAATCTTGGAGATGGGTTTTCTTTTGGATTTAATCGATTTTCAAAATCTAACAATTGTAATGCTCTGGTTTTTTATTTACAATTATCCTGCAATTCTTCTTCTTCAACTGCTTTGATTTTTTCTTCCATTTCTCAGACATGCACTGGATTTGAGAATAATCTCACCCTTATCAGTCTCTTTTGTTGGTTCTTGGGGTTGTTCGTCCTCTGYGAGATTTCAGGTAATTTTATTTCGTTTCTTTAGCTTCGCTCCCCTTCTATTATCTCGTCCTCAGATTTCTCAAATCTCTTAAGCTTCATGAATTGGAATAGTGGTTTTAGTACTGCAACAAACTTGTTTTGAAATTAGGGTATTAGAATCTTATCTGGGTTGCTTGTTTGACGAATTAATTTTGAAGCAAAATTGTGTTAAGAGAAAATGGAATTTGTTCCTTTTGTATTTCGGCTTCGGCTGAGGACCAACATCTAGCCTCGGTTTGGTCGGAACTTATGTCTGGCAGCCGGACGGTGAAGCTGTTGGYCTAATCTTAAGGGTGGAGACTGGGAGCACGTTATTCGTTGGTGTTAAAACTTGTCCAAGTGGCATCCCGTCATATTTCTGTTAAATACTAACAGAATCTTAATGGTAAAAATGTGTTTTTTAACTAACAGAAATACATTGTTTTAGGATTTCATTTTTATTACAAGTTTATAACCGTGGGATCTAGGAAATTTTAAATGGCCACGCTCCATAATCATAATAAAATAATATAAAAAAAAAGACAAAATATACTTTTACCGTAAGTTAATTAACGGAGACTAACGGTAAAATGACATGGGTGTTTATTTTTATACGAGGTGCCACTTTTTTATGAATTTTATATTATTATAATATTGTGGTTTGTTTTTTTTATTATATGACTTTTTTTTTTGGGATCTGTAATGGGTAGCATATAAGTTTTCTATATTTAACAAAATAGCATGCCTTTTTGATATTTTCAGATATAGCATTTTTTTGAAAATCCTGATTTTAAAATTTTCAGTATTCCCAAATTACCCTTTTCAGTTATCGCTTCGTTATTATATATCAAACATATATCACATATATATCAGGAGTGTATCTGACAACATTAGTATATCATAAGTAAATCAATAGTATATCAAAAGTCAATCAGTTCTATATCAGTTGTATAATAGTAAATCACTATTTTAC